GTTCTTCAGGCATAGAGTAAAAGTTATTAATGTATGCCAAACAATATCTATGTTTGTATCTGGAATGCTATAGTTCTTTATTAATAGGTGCTCTAGAAATATCTTTGTTGCCACTACAACCAGCTATCTAATTTTTCAAAGAATTATTTAGCTGCTAACCTGACTGTGAAGTAAAAAGTTGAAGATGAAGCTTGACTACTTCCAAGTGCTAGCCAGCAAGCACTGTTTTTTGTAGCAAGCAGTCCATGTACTTCAAAATACAAAGACAGACATGAATACAGCAACAAATTCTAGCCTAATGAAGCAACAAATTGAGGCAGTTTCAATTAGGAGCCAACAAAGGGAATACCATAATGAAAAAGAAACATTCTGTGTACAGATAAAGAAAAGAAGTACTTAGTGCTGTTTTCAAAAATCTGAAAATGCTTGCTGCTTTTCAAGCAAAGTACTAAAATGCGTGGATTCACATCAGAAATTACAAGAATATGGAAAATGCAAATGTACCAAATTTTTAATCATTCATTTAGGAATGAAAACTTTATGGAGAAGGGGTGAATAAAGCATAATCTATCATTTCTCATACAACAGGATACAGCAAAGATAATAAAAACCTGAACCAGCAACATGCAAGATGTACCTGTTGAAAAGGTTTCTAGAAAGCAAACTGAAAGCTTGACCAAGGATCAAGTTAACAGCTGATTAACAGCAAAATCTATTTAAGCAGGAACACTAATTTTGTCAGTTCATGCTTACAGTAGGTGTTATTACTGCAGACAAGAGAGCATTCTGAATAGCTCCCAGGATTTACAAAGACTGAGAGAAGAGAAAATTGTGTTATTCAAGTGACTCTGAGTCACATAAAACCTCCAATTTTGTAAGCTCTGAAAACTGTGCACAACTTAAGCATGACAAAACAAAGGTCTAGTGAACAAAGCAGAAGAGTTAAGATGCATGAAAACATGAAATAACTCTACAGTCAGACATCTTGAGTGAGTTCAAGAAATAGAAAGCATAGCAAATGATACTTCCAGAATCTGATGATATATAGGTCTAAATGCCCCCCCATCAGATCTTTCAAATTTAAAAGAATGAAAGATACTATTAAAATTACAAAATTTCATAATCTGTCACAGATCTAAGCATATGTATTGAAAATACATATGTGGTTCCAACAATACCAGTATGTTAAAAAATGTGTTTAATTTCAAACTAAAAATAAAAACGAAGAGTCAACGCCCCTAAAACTCAGAAAATTCTTGGGTTATATGATTAAAGTGTTTTCTGGCACTTCACAGAACATGAACATAAATATTGCATAGCTGGATTAAGAGAGATGGACACCCACCTCTAAAAGCTTCAATTACACTTTCAGACAGAAGGGCTATGAAACTGATTCACAAATCCATGAATACTCCAACCATCACTTCAACTAGTGGTTTTCCAAGTGTATCTCTCCACCAAACCATCCAGTGCTGCACTTACCTTATGCTTCATATTGCTACTAAACAAGCTGAAATCCACTTCCTGCACCCCTCTTTCCAATGCTGATAACACAAATTAAACTTTAGACTCACAATCAAATGGATTCAAGTCTGACTGCATTTTTAGTGGTTGATTTAAGTAGAAAGTCTAAGTTTTACCATTGTCTGCATTTAAATGCTTGTTCTTACTCTGTAGTAGCTTGTTCTGTGACTGTTCCCAGAGGTTTCAATTAAAACTGAGTTCTTGAGGTACCAGGTGTTGTTTCTGTGAATATTTGTAGAATTCCTGCCTGAAAAAGCCTACTTTGTAAAAGTGGCTTTTCAGAAGTATTCAAACAATGTCCCTACCTGAAGTTAATATTAAAACTACCATAAGCCTAATGGAAGCAAAGATAGATCAATAAAAAGTACTTTTGAAAAATTTCACTCATCACTCCTGTATTTTAATCATTCAGACTTCACAGTTTACAGTACTGAAAGAAGAGAGGTTGCAATAATAACAAAAGATGTGGTGTCACTAAGGGAGATACTCTGGCTATAATTTGCATTTTTTCACTTACCAGACTATATTATGTTTAAAAAACCCACACACTTTATTGTATTTGTATTCAGGATGTGCAAGAAGTCTGAAGCAACTATGCCTTAACCATCTGAAGAGCAAATTTATTTGAAGCAATTTAATATGTAGGATTACACTTGTACTGTATCTGGAGACTTTGAGGCATTGATAGCTGTGGTCAGCACTGAATTGGAGATAGAATCTTGTAAAGTACTTTGCAGAAGTACAATTAACTTGAAATTATTTCAGAGAGGCTCTTGAACATTTCAGAGTCTCCTGCTTCTGCAGAGCTTAAAGAAAACAAGTCAGGTATTCCTTCCTGGAACAGGCAGATGGGGTGAAGAGGAGGCAAAGAGGGATGAAGAGGATAGCTAACTTCAAGCTCCTCTCCAGTATTTATCAACCTTTATGTGCAAGCAAAGAACTAGTCTGCAGCAAATGAACAGCAGATTTGTGGTTGTACAGAAAGGCTTAGTGAATCTTCTAGAGGTAGGTCTTAGTGTAGTCATTGGGCTCTTCTAGGCAATGAGTTCCGCATATCTGTGCATTATCTGGCTCACTCTTGCCATAGAAAGTTGAACAATTTAATATCTGTAATAACCTGTGAAAAGTATTCCTGTGTTTAATATAAGAAAATGTACAAAGATAGACAAAACAAGGAATTCCAGTCTTCCTGCTACACAATCTGTTGCCTCTGCTGTTGGTTTCATCTTTGCACAAATGGGAGTGAAAATTCAGTGAACCTATCTTGATAAATTTAGAAACCACAAGCATTTGGTCAAACAAGATGGCAAACTGACAGCCCCTGACCATTGTCCTTTGCTCCGATTTCTGTGTTAATTAACATCACCAACATCAAACTATGACCATTTTTCCCAGGGGATGGGGAAGAGAGGAAGGGCAGAAGCAAAGAACTCATGCTCATGTATTTACAAATTTGTACGTAGTTCAGAAAGTCTGAAAAAACAGTAAAGATAGGAAGGGTCCGTGTAGTAACTTGTATCACAATGTAAACCAAACGTTTTCATCTCTTGCTGACTTGCTGCTCTTTCCCCCTGTTCTATATAAAAAGGTAATGCTTACACAAAGGGGCTTTACTGCTGTGTGTGTCTGAATTTATTTTTTTTTTAAATAGGAAAACTAGACTCTATCCCTTCCCTCAAAAAAAAAAAAAAAAAGG